ACACACACAGAGCTGCCCCCTGTCTTCGAGGGCAGTGCTGTAAGCTGATGGAGCAGATGGGCTCAGGGCTGACTGACTGAGCCGTGCTCTGACAAACTGTCTCTCTGTACAGTGTTGCTCAGATGAGGGATGATGTCCTTTGCACAGTCTCTAATCTAAATCTGGCCGCCCACAGATTTGCCAATCTAGAAACTGGCAACCGGACACCAAAAATCTGGCATTTCCAATGATACGACACAACCCAGAGACATTATCTAGCAGTCCGTTTTAATGTTTTCCAGGACGGCAAAAGCTTAAGTTTGTCAAGGAAAATATTTGGTACACATTCTCACCTAGTCTTTCAGTAAGGAGTCCATTTCTGTTTGGAACTATTTCATGGCAGGAAGTGTGTTTACCGAATAAATATAAGCTGACTAAATTCTCATGTAGTGTTTTTATCACTATAAATATTGACAAACAGGAGTGAATAGAGGCCTAACTAAAATAATATATCAATCAGATGTGAAGGTCCCCATTAAGGTTCAAACTATTGTATTGTTTTTTTCTGCTATTTAACATTTTGTTACATTCCTTTCAATCGATTTTACCAGCGCTGTTTTATTGACAGATAAGCAATGGTAAACAGAAGCTATTTTACTCCTGTGTCCTGTACTTAAATACAATATCTAGGTTAAGTTGTACTTCACTTGAGTATAAACATGAAGTACATTTAACCAGAATAAAAGTGAACGCAAGATAGTTAACAAATTAAAACAAATGTGTTTAGCAGATCTCTTTTATCATCTCGGGATCCCTTAAAACATCTAGACTAATGTAAAAGGTTTGGCTCTAAGACTTTCTTGGCTTTTAAGATAAGATAAGATAAGATAGTACTTTATTGATCCCCATTTGGGAAATGTTTGTGTTGCAGCAGCATAAAAAGACATGGCATTGTACAATACACATTAAAAGACTAGAAATAAACAAGAAAGTAGAAAACATACATGTTGAATTTACAAATTAACAATAACAAGATATAAAGCAAGTTATTATATATACATAAGTATGTGAGATATGGAATATTACATATTAAACTGAATAAAATAAATGTAAAATGTACAGTGGGATTTTAAGTCCAAGAGAAACTGGAGCCGAGAGTTCTCTGCCAGCCAGTGGTGATTTGTTATAATCAATGTCGAAACATTTGACATCCTCAAATACATATTCATCACTAATAGCTTTCTTTCACTCTGTGACTGACACATAATTCTGTCTTTAGTTGAACAAGTAAATCCCTGCAACATGCTGCATGAAAACATCAGAGTGAAACCCCTTATATTGAGTGTGATCGCCCTCTGGTGGCCAGCAGCACCAACTGCCTGCGGCTCCGGGTTGTGGTGGCTCTGAGAATGAGTAAGGTCACGAGTTGGTGCCAAACGCCCCTTTATCCCACTGAAGGAGCAGATGGCAGCTCCCCAGTGCACAAGGCAGGGAGATCCTACCACCAGACGCTTCAAGCAGGGTGTAAAAAAACACACACACACAGACACACATTAACATTCTTGTGTGCACTGTTCACTTTGAGCACTATACTGTACACACGGACGTGAAGTGCACTTGTCTGTTGGAGCTAATGAACGCTTGACCTCGGTTATTATACCTTTCATCTCTCAGGGTCAACAAGTCTCTTGACCTCTATTATGATCCTTTGAAATGATACTGTAGGAGGTTTGTATTTGAACTACTGATATAAGTGGCTTTATGTGATACATAAATGTTAGCTGCCAGCCTTGACTTTCACACTTTTTTCCACCTGCTTAATGAAAACCCTATTACCTGCAACACTTAGAAGCATGTTCAGTCCTGGTAGGCTCAAGCTGTCATATTAATCACTATTTGTATTAAGAAGGAAATGTTTTACTCTAAACCTCTTGAAAAAGCTGATATCAGTCTACCTAGTACGCTGCACATTTTTCATTATACAACACGATTTGAGGGCACTCAAAATCACATAGTAATTTTTCTAAAGACATATGAACCAGCATATTATTTAGCTCATAGTCAGTAATTTATTAAAGAAAGTGCACTTGATATGATATAGAAAAAATATATAGAACAAATATAGAGTATATTTTCTGCTACAAATATCTAATTAGAGGGATTGAAATATAGGCCATGTGTGGGTCATGACATATTTGTCCTTTCCTTTATACCTGCGTCTTGTGTTTTTCTTTTTTGAGAGTATAATTATCTACAATTATTGAGCATTAACCCAAGTATGCTGCTAAGTGTTCAGAACTTTTGATTGGCAGTGTATATAACCCTGCCTCCCTTAATAATACAGCTATCACTGTCATTCGAGGCGTACTGGTTGACAGATTGAGGAGGGTATGCTAAGCTCAGCTGAGTGGCGTGTCACGACAGGATATGAGGCAGTTAGCTAATGTGGTGTAAAAGGATTTAGAGGATTTGACCCTATCAGCAGAGATGGCACTCAGAGAGGCTCTGTTAATGACACTAAATGAGTGTGTGCCTGCAGCGTGCTAATAATGGTGGCATGAAAGCCAAGCTTATAAATTATATGGAGATTTTTTTGTGTGTAAACTGCTAGAAGTGTGATGAAGTAATGTGTGTGTGCACATTATGTCAAGGCAAGGTACCACACACGTCATTTCAATGCCTTCTTTGAAACAGTGGATCACAATAGACCTACATTATGCTGGGAATTAAGTGTAATCTTGTGATGGAGCTGCTTTTCAACATCACTTATCGTTTGTCTGGCAGCATACTGCAATTATCTCATTTTCTAAAGGTGGGCACTGAGACATATAAAGCAAAGGTCCAACCTGTTAACAAAACGGTTTTTTTCTGTAGATTCAAGGATGTTTCTGAAGCTGTACAATGCAGACTTCGTTTTTACTTTTTGAGATGGGCCAGGGTGAGATATTACAGTCTTTGGGGTCTGGAGACTAGTTTTTGACTTGAAATCTTTTTTGAAAGCCATTGACTGCGAGTTGGGCAGTTCAATTGACTTTTCTCAACAGGGAGCATAGAGTTATGAAAAAAAATTGGAAATACTGTCCCGTTTCTGTTGATCTGTAGTTCATCTTTTGTTTTTGCAGTGCGAGTACATGCATTAGAGTACCTGGCTAGACTCCAGGACCACAGGACACCAAACAAACAGTAAAAGTGTGCGAAGCAGCTATAAATGTATACAATTAAAATGTCATTGGCCTGCCTAGCTGACTTCCTCTGAATTGCGAAGAAATGTAGCGTGCTGAGGCTGGGATTGAGTTTTTAACCACTTTATTAGTTTTCTTCACATCTGCTGTTACTCTGCAGGGACTGCGATGACAAAAGATATCATTCATCTTTCTTTCCTGTTCAATCTGAATCTAATACAGGCCTACTTAATGCTATCACTCACTACAAATAACATTTATCAATCTTGAGGAAATGTAATTTGACAGAAAAGTGTGGTATAACTACATTAAATATCCAACATATGATGCAATGAATCTGAATAAAAGACATTTGAGTTACGATCCGGGGCTGACAGGCTGTCGTTCAGCTGCTGCTGCCAACACCCGTATTACATGACGAATGGATTTAAGAAACATTGGTGAGTGCTCAGACAAACAGTAAAGGGCCCTACATTATTCCTCATGAGGTCCACATGCTGTAGTAATGAGTGATATATATCTGAGATTTAACATAACCTGTAGACCAACAACAAAACAGTTATCTTTTACTCTGCATTCACTAAACTACATCAACAAGCATACGTTTGGAGTTTTGAACCGACTTTAAAAAAATGTAATCTTCCTCGACAAATGGGGCTCCTGAAGTGCAATAGGATTGATAAAAACCCACTTCATTTACAGATAAACATAATTGATTAATTCATAAAAAGCAGACTATATGTTGAAAACTAGTTTTTTCTTCAAATATAAGCATTAGAGCCCAAGTTGTGCTAATTAAATGGCAGCTCCCTGGCATTCTTATAGAGATAAATGAGATTGTCTGTTGCTAATTATTCCACATTGGATATGGAGCCACTCATAATTATACCTGTGAATGTATAAATACCACAAAAGTCTCTCTCACCTTCGCTTTCATCATTCATTTCCATGCATGAAGTACCCTCCTTGGCACCTTGCCAGGCAGGGCATTGGCACAGCTTGACTAGTACAACAAAGAGGTGTCACTGCCAACTTCTGCAACCCACCCCCTGCTGGTCAAATCCTCTTTACTGGTTTCACTATGACAGTCTGCCCGCCATCCTTGGCTCACCATGCAAACATAGGACAGGAGCTCAGTGACCAGTGCCAGGGAGGTGGGAGAGGAGAGTGAATGGAGAGTGGAGAGAGAGAAACAGATGGAATAACGGGCAGAGAAATATTTCCGATAGAAAGGGTTCTCCCAAATATGTGACTGTATCCCAACTAACCTGTGGGATGGACAGGCAGCAGGTATAATCTTTAGACTTGATATATTTTTTCTTATAAAAGGGCACACAATAACATAAAGTGTGTTGATTCTTGCAAAAGTCGAGTTGTTGGGCTGTTTGAATAAATATAATTGTAATCTTCTTTTTTAGAATTTCATTAGACCTAAAAGAGATATTTGTCTACTGTTTATGGCTTATAGTGTAGTGCCACATAACTGTGGAGGTGTGGATTTTACTGACAGCCAGCAATTGTTCTTTTTCCCATAATTTATGCCCTGGCTCACTGGCTACAGCTCGTCATTGTCCCACGCATGGTTTTTCCATCCATTTCCAACATTTGAACACAGATGTTCTCTGTGGGAGGCAGCGGAAAGCTGGCTCAATCACTGCATAGTATTTTCCTCACAGCTAGCCTGTTTGTATTCTGGTTTTGCACACAAGTGGGCATGTTTGTGTGGCTGAGCTGATAGGAGCTGTTGAGTTACGTCTGTGTCTGTGTGTTTTGTACACTACTATACTAACCATTTTTAAACCTCTTCACTCTTTTGTCCTGTGCTTCTCTGTTTTCTAGGAATCACCTTCAAGGTCATCAGTCATCTTTAGTTGGCCCGGGGGTCTTTTAGAAGGTCAGACCTCCTCGCCACTATGAAAGGGTTGGGGACCAACCGTAACAGACACCTGTCCGAATCCTGTGAGCCTCCCTCCGGTCATCCAGAGGCCCTCTACTCTCACAAGACCTGCACCATCCCACGCAGCCCTTACCTGCTGAGCCCCACAATGGACCACTACGGCACCATGGACCCTCACCTCTATCCTTCAGCCAACCAAGGCTCCCTTCCACCAGAGTGCATGCTGCCACTTAACAACCAGCTGTCCAACAGCAGCACCTTCCCCAGGATTCACTACAACTCCTACGACCAGTCTGACTTCTCCCCACCTGGAGACAGCATCGGGGGGATTAGCACAGGGACCATGGGCACCTCCATGTCATTGGGACCGGGTATGGGCATGGGCATGGGCATGGGCATGGCAGGGCTCAGTGGACGAACACCTATGATTACGAGCGGTTCAGCAACAATATCACATCACATGACAAAGAACCAGGCACCATCCAGTTTGATGGAGTTTGATAAGCAGCTACCTGGAGGTCGTGACGGGTTCAGCACATTGCAGTTTCACAGAACGTCAGCTGTTGCTGCCACCAAGCAGCAAACAGACAGTCCTGGTCGCATCCGCTACATGCTGCACTCAGTGCAGAAGCTCTTTGCAAAGTCCCAGTCGCTGGAGAGCCAAAACATGAAAGGAAATGTCAATGGACGCTCCACTGGCAGCGGTGGAGGCTCGTCTAGCACCGAAGACGGAGAGAAAAAGAATCGAAGATCTAAAAGTAAAGATCGTGGTACAAAATCAGAGGCCAAACGAAGACCACGCTCCAACATGTCAGGCTATTGGAGCTCAGATGATTTGGACAGCAGTGATTTGAGCAGTTATCATAACACCATGTCCATGATGACAATGGGGCGTCCACCTGGACATGACAGTCATGCGGGCCAGTCCAGATACATCCAAAGTGGATACAACACTATCAGCTCCTCTAAAAGCAGCAATAACATGAAGTATCAGGCACACACTGGGCCTGGGGGCGGAGGAGGTGGTGGACTAGGTGGAGCAGGAAGAATGGCAATAAATGATAATGACTACATGAAAGGAGGGTCCTGGTCCACACTGACCATGGGCCAGCCGAGACCGGTGATCCAGAAAGGCTCTGCTACTCTGGACAGATCCATGCTCAAGTCCAGATCCTGCCAACCTGAAATGAACTGCAACTACCTGCAGGTTGGACGAAGGGTGAGTAGGCCTAAAGGGAATGTAGTGCTAGCTAAAAGTTAGATTCCGGAAGGATTTTATTATTACCAAGACCTATTTCCAGGTGTAGGTTAGATACAAACACAATATACTTGCTTTTAGAGCGTTGATTAGGAATGAAAAGAAAGACTAATTGTATCCGCTTTATTCTGTCTGTAGGGTGATTGTAGTAGCACTTTAGGTCGCCCTGGGGGTGCCAATGAAATACCGTGTCGGCGGATGCGCAGTGGTAGCTATGTGAAGGCCATGGGAGACCTGGAAGACAGTGACGACTCCGAGGGAAGTCCCAAACCTTCGCCAAAATCCGCCGCTCGTCGCCAGAGCTACCTAAGGGCAACGCAGCAGTCTCTGAGCGACCAGCTTCCCCAACGCAAGTAAGACGACAAACTGAGACGTAGAGATGTGCTTTTTGTTACGCAGTAAATATTAGTTTTCAACTGCAAGGGAGACAACCTCATGTTAAAGTTACAATCCTTTGATTAAATCTAATCCAAAGTAGCCCCGCAGCTTTGATTTAAAAACACCTGATTGCCACCTGCTTTCTGCCAGGTACAGGTTTTCAATTCATAGAAAGAAAATTATTAATATTGTTTCCTGATTGTCTAAAACGTGTACAAGTAAAACTTGTAGGTGAATGTACTTAGATAAAAAACAAACCTTAAAATGGGTGGCTAGAATAAGTCTTGATTTTTAGAGCCCATCCAGACACTTAGAGTTATAAATACTGATTGGCAAAACCTCTCAACAATCAAAGAAAAAGAAAAAAGCCACTTTTTTCTGGGATGTAGAAAGCTACCACGCCCTGAATAACCATCACAGTATGCAAGGAAAAATCCATACAACATGCACAGTGCACACAAGCTGTGCTCACTCACATGTAGAATAAAGTGGTGTCAGACTCCCTGTTGTCCCCCACATGCCAGTCTTACTACCACACCTCATCTGTGATTTATCTTCCTACTGTTGGACACACAAAGCATCACAACATTAGTGTAGTTTACATAATATGACACTGACTGTTCTTGCTATTCAACCAGTAAATAACCACAAATCAGCCTCATCTCTCCGACTGGCTGGCAATGCGCCTCACTTGTCTTTAGATGACATGCTTTATGAAGCATATATATTGCACAATATGTGGTGCAGGCACAGCTGAGTCGACTGTGCCTTTTCATTAAATGGCAGAACATGCACTCCCATTTTTCCTTTGTATGCAGGCAAATTGGAACTGTCATGTTTTGTAATGTCAGGTTTCAGAGATCAAATTGTTGCACCTAATTGCAGAGTAACAATCACAATGCCCATTAGTTGCTAAAAGATATGACAGCTGTTGCATCTGCCGTCTAACATGAAATTGTTTCTATGTTTCTTTGTTGTTTTTAATAGTCTGCTTAGCTTGAGGCGTTTGTGACCTATTATTATATATTATTAAATTATATTATTATACTTTACGGTCAAGTAAACAAAACTCTGTTTTTAAATATCATGAGCACAAATGTTTATCATAATTCAGTAAAGCAGCTTTTTTTGTCAGTGTGGTCCTAAATTATGGATTTTGCAGCGCAAGTGGCGTACCATATGCAAACACTTAGTTGTGGACATACTTCATATTGGATCAGGGTTGGAGTGTTGATGTCCATTCAACCCAAACAAGAGGCGGATCATCCTGAGAAACAGCTGCAGGCTTTCCAACATACACACCTCTGCTTTTACAAAGATTCCAAGTCCTTTAGTCTATGTAGAGTCAAGGATTCATTCTTCCCTAAAGCGTGCCTGAATGACTAACCCTACTCCCCCTGCCAATCCCTGACCATCCAACCCCTCTCCTCCGCTCTGCTCCAGCCTGATTGGCGTGAGCAGCAGAACCCTGGATTACACCTTGTTGCAAGGGGAGCTGGATGCCCTGTGGTCTCCTCTCCACAGTGTGTCCTCTCTGCACCAGCTGGGCAGGTCAATGAGCAGGTCAGTGATAGGTCTGTTAGCCGCGTCTCAGGAGTGTGGTGCAAAAACGCTTTTGTCCGATTGTATCATTTTAATTTCAATGACTTTGCACTGCACACCTCAGACGCCTGTAAAGTCAGCGGCAACTCAAAATGCCAAATTCATACCGTGCCGCCAACAACTGCCAACCTCCCTTAAGCTTGTAAATACCATCTGCCCAGTGCTTTTAGGTGAAAAGTAGCTGAGTTTGACACTTTTCAAATGGGGGGACATCTGTGTCCATAGACCATGGCATGGCAGATTGCTGTCATGTTACTATCACTGTGTGCCAACAAAGAATATGTGAAAACATGACTTTAGAGCTGCTTTGTGTTTAAACTCCAACCAGTTCTTTGTCTTTGGCACCATGATGGCACACAGAGCAGTGTGTACATGTGTTGCCTGACATCATTGGCTTTGCATGCTCCGATGCTACTATGACTGATGCCAAAATGAGATGAAAGTGGAAGAGAGTCAGGATTTAAATGTGGAAATGAAAGGGGGAACTTGAATACAACTTGAATACAACAACCTTATCCTCCTTTTATCTCTCTTTCTATTCCTGGTTTTGCTCATCATGCCTATTTGCCTTCTGGCTCCCTATCATCGAACATTAACATGAAGTTTCTTTCCCATCTTTTCCTTGAATATGCACTCATCCACTCCTGCCTTTGGTTTTTCTCCGTATATTTGAATGTCCTTAACACATCTCCTTTGTCTTGTTTCTTACTGCGCTTTTCAGCTGTCTTCCATCTCTCAGAGAGATCTCCAATAATCGCAGCCTGGACAACCTAGACTGCATTGGGGGTACAGTCTCCTCTTTGCCCCCCTGGGATGATGATGACTTCAGCCAGGCCTGCAGCACCTTGGGCAGACGTAGCTGCTTGGGACAGGTCAGTGCAGGGAGTGAATTAAAAGTGAGCTGTCTGAGGTCAAATCATAAATCTGTTTTTCTCCGTCTGTTTGTGTCTCTATCTTATTAGTTTAGCAGATGTATTTCTAATGAGAATACGTTTGATGGAAATGGAAATGACTTAGCTCCAAGCAAACTTTCTATTTGAAATCAGCAGTCAGTTTCAAAGACCCCATTGTCTGCCTCGAGCTACTAACACTCATTTCCGTAGTATAATTTGCATTTTAACTGATACAGCTTGAATGACAGTATTAAAATGAGCTTCCTGTGAACAAAGAATCCCGCTTTTCCAAATGTATCTCATATTAATGTATTAACCTCAGAGCCAAATGAGTGAAATTGGTGGTTTTAAGTCGTATTGATCTACTTACATAAGAACTATTAGCCTCCCACTGACAAGGTCAAAGAGAAGATGAACAACTACCCGTAGAAGCTCTGATCTTTTTCAATGAACTATAGTCAAATGAGGCAGTGCAGGCTATTACTACAGGATTTACACCCAATCTCTTGACAGGTCACGACATTACAACAAATGTGTCCAATATGTGAATTCATTGCTCTAATTTGCATCCACACCAGCATGCCGAATACATTTAATTTGCATGATGATATGGAACATTTTCCATACAAGATTTCTACGGAGCTTAATCAGAACAGTGGAAATAATACCCAACATTTAACACAATTCCAAAATGTGTGTGGGTGTAACATTTTGTTTTTTGTAGTGCTGCTTCTGCTACACTCTCCCCCTTATATGCGTATGGAACCATTCTGCGAACCACCAAAATAACTTTGCTCCAAACACATTTTTGACTCATACTCAGGCTGTCTGTGTCAATCAACTGAATGTGAAACCCATCATCCGCAAGGCTTGTTCTTACTCTTCAAAAGAAGCCTCAGAAAGAGCATGCAGAATAAAACGTTTCTGAGTGGTGTCTTTTGCCTTGTCGTATATTTTGTGTTTTATATTTGACAGTTATTATATGGCTGTGAGAAATGTAAAGAAAATGCATTTAACATTCAGTCCAGAAACCCAGCCTAAAGGAAAGCTGGCGGAGTCCCACTGGTTTCACTGAAGTTAAGAAACACTGTTCTCTGCAACACTTAGAAATAATTGGACTTAATTTCCACACGCTTTTGGTGCCATTTTATTGCATCCCATCAGATGAGTCTCACTAATGAAAATCCCCTTTACAAAAACAGTCAGTTTCTGGGCAGTTAGTGTTCACCTCCAGCGCCAGGAGCAGCTACTATGATCAAAATGAACCCACTCTTGCAGTACTGTTCTCCTTGCTACCTTACTGCTAATCTTGCCCTTTCCTCCCTCCAGCTACGGGACCTGGAAATTAGTCAACATTACGAGGACCGCAGCTCCGAGTCCACATTCAGAGATTCCCGTTCCCAATCTCAGGACAACCCAGAGCCTCTAGACTTGCCCATGCCAACATGCTTCCGATCCCGCAGCCACAGCTACCTGAGAGCCATCCAGGCTGGCTGTTCACAAGATGACGACACAGCATCCATGGACTCAGGCTGCTCTCCGCCCCCGATTGACACTACTGTACGCACCTACAGCAGCAGCACTGGTGAGTCACAAATGATACATCTGCTGCAAATGAACCGAGTTATTACCCAAATGCAGTGTTATGTGTTGCCAAACTGAGATCTGAATGCTTTGTTTAAACCGAACACAATATTGATTTTAATTTTATTATGCCTTGATGATTTTTACTCAGTTTTGACCCCTTTTGCAGAGCGACCCAGATATGAATTACTTGTACTTCCCATAACATAACATAAACTAATACAACTTATAGCCTTGATCCTTGGTTGGACACTAGTCTTCCCTCATACATGCACACGCTAGCATCTTTAGCTTAAATGCAGCCTCTTTTGCCCATGCTAGACGACCTTTCTGCACAGTGGAAGACATGGAAAGAACAGTTTGGCTCTTACCTGATAGCCACTGGCTTGGACAAAGCCCCAAAGGAGAAACAGCTTGCAATTTTTCTTCAGCGTTTGGGGACAGACAGACAACGCATCCTACCACACAAAGGTAAAAAATCAAAACCAGCTCCTCTCCCCTAAAAACGATGTTATCAATGTCCCACTTCAAGAACTTCAAAAGAAAAGAAAAAACCTTACTATCAAGAAAAACTAAGTGAAAAAGAGACGTTTTTGGTCAGTGGAGTTTTGGTTGTCACGGAAATGATTTCAGAAGCCCAAAAAAATAAGCAAACTGATCTGGTTGTTACTTTGAGGTTGAATTTGCTACAGCAGAGGAATTGTGAATGTGTGTGATGACATACAAGATGCTTTGTACTGGTTGTGTCATCTGAATGCTCCCCAAGTAGAGAAAAGGAGTGTTTATACACTGTTGCACATAACGTTGGAATAATTTAGCTTCCAGACATTCCATATTCCCCCTTTACACACACAATCGTTTCATGAGAAGAGTTAACACATATTGTATTCCAACTTTATGGGCAACAATGTATAAACCGTACTTATGTGTGCATCTGCTTGAGTTATTACTACCAGACTTTATCCACCATGTGGCGCTATTTCCTGTAATCTTCTAAATGGACTTGGAAGCACATGCTGTGTTCAGGCCGTTCGAGTTGACTGAATTTCGAAAACTTTTTCTTTTTTGTTCCTTTGGGGGGGATTAATAGTTCTTTCAACATAAAGCTGATAAGGGAAAATAGGTCCTATTTTTCTATTTTTGTCAGAAGTGCGAGTCATATTTTGTTCGTCTGATTTTGATCATTTTATTTCTGTAGCCACATTATTAATGCTGCATTTAGTGGTTGTGGTTTAATGTCAAAGCATATTAAGCATAGAGATTTTGTATTTTACTTTTGAAAGCCGTCCTAAAATATTATATATAAAGATTCAATATCAAGAAACATAGGTGTCCCCAAAGTTAAATCTACAACAGTATCAACGGTGTTATTAAATTCTAAGAAGCACTTTTATGTGCACCATTATCACTTTAGTTGCAATGATCAAACGGTGGAGTTTGAATTTTCCGAGTCGCCCCTGGAGGCATCGGGAGACAAGCCACCACGCCTCCCTCAGACACAAACAAAGGCAACCAAACCAAACCCGGCTTCTCACAGCCCTCACACACAGAGAGCGAGGGTCGTCTCCGGCTGCAGCTACACTTCAAATATCCAAGTCTTAACTAAAAACACCACTGTGTTTTTTATTTATCTTCGCCTGACAGCAGGGTAAGCATTTTTATCATTTTAATGTTAATTGTGCTAAGTGCGTGCGTCGTTATAACAGTCTGGCTCGTTTGGTGACTGGACGCTCTTTAACCGGTGACAACCAAAACTTTAAAGTAGGTTACATTAACCATTGTATCTCTTCAAGCACCCGGTATCCAACACAAATGTCCTATAAGAAAAGTTGTTATCACTGTGTGGGTGTGATGTTGACAATAATAACTCAGTAGGCCTATACTTCAGCAGGTGATTTGTATGGGTGCGTAAGTTACTGTCGTCTCGTATTGATTAATTGAATTTCTGCTTTTAGATCTGCTAAGTTGGTCCCCTGCTGAGGCTTGATTTACAGGGAATTGCTCTTTTGTCTGACCTGTATTTCATCAAGTGTCCGATGTACATATTTAGATCATTAAGCAAAGCTAAAGACATGTAAAGTAGGATAACTCTCATTAAGTTTGATATAAACTCTGAAATATGTTTGTCTCCATAACTGCCTCCATTGTTGCACTTTTTTAAGATCTGTACTTCCAGTGTTCTGTATGAAGGTCTTTATTAATTATTGAGAATTTCCTACCATGTGTTTCGTACAAAGTGCTCTGCTGCTGCCATGGGAGTCAGGATGTCTGCTGTTATACTGCATGAGGACTAGATATAGTTAGATGAACCTAATTCTGCCTACACTTTATACATGCAGCTTTCTTTATGCTGACATGGAAAATTGGCCTTCTCTGGGTATTATTCGAGGTCTGCCCCACTTTGGTCCCACATGGGGTCCTGTCTGTGTACAACATGGATTAGATCCCATTTTGAGGTCACATTAGAATATAAGGGCTTTACCGTTTTGTCGCTGTGCTGTTGTTGAAAGCATTTCATGTGATAGTTTGTTGGAATAATGGCTTTGGGTCACAAAGCAGCAGTGATAGTTTCAGGCAAGGTTGTCTATCATTGTGCCTGTAAATTGATTAAACAACACAGTTGGGTCAACTCAACTGGCAGACAGCAGGCAACTTGGCAAGCAATACTAAACTGTTAAATAGAGCATCACAATTCACCCTTTGTCTTTCATTGTTCCTGGTTCTTGTCTGACACAAACTAACCACATAACAGCACCACCTCAACCAATCAGCTTAAAATGTATATTGTTCCTGGGGAACAGTTTAACATACATTAAAACACTTGAAAAAGTGTCTAATATGCCCCACTGGTACTGAGATTGTGTGAGCAGCTTGGATTACATACAAAAAATAAAAGGGGATTGGGCAAAAATATTTTAGGGTCTAAAAAGATGCTGTGCTACCCACAGTGATGTCACTGGAAACTGTGATTGGTTAATTATAGTTTTCACAGCAAACTCTTATTAAGCACTGTGTGGCTTCATACAGGTTTACCAAAAGATACCTATTTTTGAATTTTTTTGTGTGGAGTATTAAGCCATGATTAGTATGTAGTGAATTGCTTACACCGGTGATAGGTCGAGTGGAAAGCAGTCATGGGTTGGTGGAAACATTTTTCCTCTGCTCTAGCTTCATGCAGCTAATTGTTTCCCAGCTTTGAAAATCCCATCTTGAACCCGGCTAACAGTGGACAACAGAACCACTGTCCAGATGGCATGAAAACGGCAGAGCTTAGTGCCCACTCCAGATTCCACTCAAAACCTTTGGCACACAGCCTCTGCTTGTGTCTGTTGCTAAATTCCCTTCTGTAGAGCATGCAAGTAAGTTCTTCTGAGCAGCTCTTTTTACGTAAATCCAGCTTTTTTTTAAAGAGATACAGTGTTTTGGCTTCATGTACAGTGTATATCTGTCTTCAATGGCGTGTTTAGTTCACGGAAGGGCTTTGTCAGCACTGGTTCTGGTGACCGTAACTGTTTTACATTCAATGTGTTTTATGCTTGCACAGCTGGGTATGTTTGTGTGGCTGAGTTTAGTATAATGCGCATGAAATGGGCCGTGTCACTTAATATCCATCTGTCTGTGAGAACTTTCTGCCATGGGTGCATTTTTTCTCTTTTAACAGGCATTTATAAGGAATCAGCTGCTTTCTTTTTTGTTACACTATAATCAATTTGCTACATTATAAAATGCTGGATTTACAGCTGTTCTTCATTCTTTTACACATTTCTCACCAGTTTTACTAATGAAATCTGGCATGTAGCAAAACCTTTCGCTAACAGAATACCGTGTGAACAGTGGAGTGTGGTTTTAATGTGCATGCCATTGTTAAGCTCTGTCTGGTAGAATTATTAAATAAAAAAACTGAAATGCTCATTGCCATTTTTATTTGATAATTATCAAAAGTTCTGATTTAATTGTTGCAGCTCTATTGACCGAAGTGGCAGACCAACTGACTATATAATGATGCTAATCTCATGCTTTTTTTGCTGTGGTAAAGACTCAGCCTTGGTATATGGGGCTCTTCCAGGCGATCTACCTCCTTTTCTCCAAATAAATGACATTACATTTGGTATTTATTTGCAGTTTTTTGTTACATTGATATACAGTATTTGTCATGAGCTAAACTAGGCCGATAATATTGGTCTGGCCTATTTATTTCGTCCAGCTCTACTACTTTATATCCCATCTAATCTCAGAGGCAGCTGTCAGTTATGATTTTACGGCTTGTTTTTGGTGGGCAAAGCAGATTCTGTAGCATTAAGACTTAAGGGCAAATTATGTTCAGAATGACGAAAACACGATGTGACACTCAGGGAACTGCAGGGCAGGTATCCACACACACACACACACACACACACACACACACACACACACACACACACACACACACACACACACACACACACACACACACACACACACACACACACACACACACACACACACACACACACACACACACACACACACACACACACACACACACACACACACACACACAGACCCAGTTAGTGACAGCTATCCTGCAGACTAGGAGCCGGTGCATCACATAGTTGCCACAACAGTGACAACCCTATTCTGCCTAGCATCTATCCCCGTCATAAGAGGGAAGGAACATGGACGGTGAAAAGCTGTCTCAGCAGGTTTCCCTCAGGCATGGAGGATGGTCAGAAGCTGCTGCAAAATCCATGGCTAGTGGCATGTGTACTGTTTCGATAGGATGGATGCTAAATGCAGGTTTAAACAAGATGTATTATACTGGATCTCTGTCTTGCAACATACCAAGAGTTGGAGATCTGTGTGTAAATGATGACTACTGTGGAAATGTTAATGTTGCTATGGATACATCTATTGATCTATTTTTGGGATGCTAGGGGTTTGACTGAGTTGAAGCTGAGGGTGTGTTCCAACAATCAAAGCATCACGGTCAGCAGTTTGTGTTTGTATTGTCTGCCTAATATTTACATTGAGGGCTGGTCATCTAAAAGGGTAGGTGTTTCCTATCTCTTTTCATGAAGTTCACATGTGTGGTATAAAGGCACAGGCTAGTGATTGTCTTATTTAGGTGTGGTTTGGGTGTCATTTCTGATGATTACACATTATCTTTGTTTTCTGGTGTGTCATTGCTGAAACCGAGGCCAGCATTTACTAATCGGCGCTCTGTTCTGGATTAAGTCAGGTGACGAGGGATCGAAAATCAGGTATGTTGAAGAGTGAAGACAAGCTTACGATAACAAAGGAGGATTTGATACATCAACAACATTGCCACTACAATGGCTCTGCTGTTAAACAATATTCCAGCTAATAAAGATGTTTTTGTTACTTTGTTTTAGACGAGCACAATTTCCAAAGGGAAAGCCTGAACTATGTTATGCTAACAGAACTTAAAGACAGCTGAGACTGCATGATCCTTTGGTAAAATATGATCCAATAGCAGGCGGCAAATGCCATAGCATACATTTTTTAATAATAGGGTGGCAAACCCTTTAAGGCTCTAGTTGCTCTTAAAGAAACTCTGAGGAGGACCAGAGGGACATTGGAGGTAGTTGAATGTAATCCAGGCTGGTGCAATTCTCTAGCAGACTGACAGCAGTTTGGCAAGTCAACTGTTGTGTGAGGTCATGTAAGTTTTATGATTTGAGGTGAGGTTGCATTACATTAGAGATAAAGCTAAAAAGCCGATTACAATGAACAACGAAGCCTTTTGTTTGAGTGTTTTCTCTGCAGCTCACATGTTTGCTGCAAGGCTTTTTCATAATCCTTGATGACCACAGCATTCAGTGCAGGAACACAACACGGTGCAGAAACAGTGTTCGCTTCATGCAGTGCCTCACATCAAATAGTGACATGTTGTTTCCTTTCAAATGTCACAGCAGGAGAGTGTGACTATTTATAACAATCTCAGTATTTATGAGAGTTTGACTCCTTTCATACTACCTCATATCTGGTGGTTATGTATTGTGTCTGATGAAAAACAGCTTTTAGTCCACAACAGCTGATCGTTAGAGAACTTGGCTGACTTACAAGATTCAATAAAATGGCCATTAGACTGTTCAACACCACATTCAACGAGATTTTGACAGCAGTCTGTAGAAGTGCTTCTGCCACATTTTCATCTTGTGAAATTATTTTTGACATTTACTATAAGGCTATAAAGTGTCCTATTGATTTTGTATGGTTGGGTCTGCACCATAAACTGATGTTTGTAAGCAAAAACGATCAAAGCCAGCCACTTCAGTCCGTAGAAAATGATTATAAAATTGTATTTAGTAAAAGGACGATGAAGCTTTTACTGTTTTTTTTTTTTTTTAAAACAGGTCCATCGTCTTGTATCCACTTTCCACAGTTTTTCTTTTTTTAAATAAAGCATCTGTTTAAGGGATCATATAGTAGCCACAGGGTTCATAATGTTACAATAAAACCCCCAGTTTAGATTATAGGTTCTGGCGGTCCAGCGTCACACTCTGCCTTCACTCTGCATGTAGCATGAGATTTCTGTGGGCTCTTAATTGAAGGCATTAGAGACTGTTTGAATGTTCCTAAAGGCAACAAAATGTTCTTTTGAGTTACTGCATTATAATTGTATCTGTTGCTTTTTATAAGCCATTTGAAACCATCTAGCCATACCATACACTTGGTCTCTTCAGATTCACTGTTTAAATGTCACTGGGTGAAATCTTGCTCACAGATGGACCATTTATATCTGCTCTCACTGAATGCATCCATTGACCTCCTCCTGGACAATTTATTTAGTTGATGGATTCGATAAGTGAATGAGTGGCTCTACAAGTGAAATAATGAAGTCAGAAAGGCAGATTCCAGCATATGTTGAAGACACATGTTTGCATCTTGTTGGCGCAGAAAAACATCTCCTTTCATTTGAGTCAGACTCTTTTCTGAACATCATACCAGGCACTTTGATAATAATCATTAAACCACTGAGGGGATGGGAGTGAACGTCTCTCATACAGATTTGTCTGAGTTCTCTTTTCCCTCCTCCGTCTATATGGTACCTTTCTATTATCTTCTCATAGCTGAATGTCAGATTTGGTCTGGAATAAAGTGCAGAATGGTACAGATAAATGTCCTCCAATTTCTTACCCATTTTCAGTCTTCAGAGTCAGATGTTCTATAAATTGCTTTACTGATATAATCGCCTGTCTCATGATCTAGGCTTTGAAGAGTGGTATGTGATTGTATTTAGTCACCTGTGATGAATGGTATGCTTGTTCAATATCCTACTTGATTTGATCTTCCCCTTTCACGGGAACGATCCCCAATGTTCCAGCTTTAACACAACAGTATCCCTGTGTATGCATGTGTACAGTAAGACATGGATACGCTGAAAAAGGTAACTCTTATCATAGAATGACGATAAGCAGGCTTGAAGCTGTTCACAGTACCAAATATATCTTCAGTCATGTGTTCCTTAAAACGTTCCCAAAGCATCTTTGCCTCTGTGTTTTTATTCACTTATTCTTCTCGTTCTCATGTCTTCTTTCGCCCTGGCTCACCTTCCTTTTGTTTCTCCTCCAGTTTCCACATGCATCACCACCTGTAAGAAGGTCGCCCCTCCACCAGTGCCCCCCCGTACAACCTCCAAGCCCTACATCTCTGTGACGGTGCAGAGCAGCACAGAGTCGGCCCAGGACAACTACCTGGACCAGCAGGACCGGAGGTCGGAGGTCACCAGCCAGTCGAGCCACGCTCACAGCAACTCCTCTGACAGCCTCGACAGCACCCGCGCCAACAGCCTGGCCCGGGGTATTCCCCGCCCTCCACACATCTTCCACACTCCCATCGCCATCCCCAGAGACCCAATCGCCCCCTCCAGAAGTAACGCTTCCACTGAGACGTGTGACGCAGTCGTCCAGCATGAATCATTGAGATCAGGATTTAACAGAGGGAATCTAGGGGCAGAGGAGCCCCTGGTGGCACCAGTACCCAGGCGGAAACTGTCCTCCATTGGTATACAGGTACGGGTCTGCTGCACTAACTAGGGTACAGTTGAATAAGTGCCGTTACCACATATGAAGGCATACTGTCAACAAGGAGCCCTACTTGCAACTAAGTGTAGCTTCTTCTGCTTGTTGAGCTTGAATCCATAGAAAAGGTCTTTTTAACAGTAGTTTAGTGTTGTGCATGGTTGTGTGTGAGTGGGTCTACTCAAGCCCAGAAATGTGCTTTTAAACCAAAGGTCTCATTAGGGTGAACATCCCTCTATCATTAGGGCTGGCTCACTACTGTAGTGAAGAAGGCAGAAAATGCATATTTGCGTTCCCCTCTACCATATAACTTGTTCTGTAACTCCTTTCTCTATTTTGCAAGCCTTTCACATTAACAGAACTCAGTCAGGGTACAACTGTGACATTATTTAATTGAAAAGGCAAAGATACAGGTTTTCTTTGAATTGTTCACTGGAAATTAACAAGTGCTACAAAACTGTACTTTTGCTATACGAAGTCTATCAAATAATTCATGCCAAGACCTTTGTTAATGTTCCTTCTTTCATGTATGTCTGATTTTTTTTTTTTTTTGTCCACTGTGATATGCTCTCAGGTTGACTGTATCCAGGAAGTTCAACAGGAAGAGACCCCGCCATTGGCCAAATTTCAGTCCATCGGAGTACAGGTGGAGGACGGGTGGCAGTAAGTCCTCTTCCTGTCCTTGTAACAACGTGAGGAATTTATATTATAGCCACACACACTGTTCTGTCTATTCTTTCCCTTTCCAGAATCTCTGTGGATGTGAAAGCAATGTGTTTTGTCTGAAAACTACCCCTTGTGTGTTGTGTTGGTGGACTTTAAAATAAATTCCGGGCATGAGCTGTTACTATTTGATCTTACTGTATATCTACTTGCTGCATACTGTTGAGACCAATGTATAGGTCATTTGGTAGGAGCTTGCATTCTGTGCTCCTCTTGTTTTCAATGCCACGGTTTTCCTCTTGGCTTCTGTATGTTCTTACTTTTAAAAGCTTCATTTAGTGTTTCGGTTGAAGCAGCTTTTTATAAATCTTCACAGGCTTTTTAACATAACCAGCCTAGTCCCTTTGTTTAATTTTGTTGTCCCTTGTGTTTTATTATCGGTGTTGTACACTCATTGGTGTTATGTGACATACCCTCAGCTGCTTACGCTGTATTTTCCATTCTTTTGCTCTTTTGGATTTTGGTTATAATTATTATCAAGCACTCCTAATATTTTATTATCTGGCTGAATCACAACTTGTTAACGTCTCCTGAGATATAACACGAAATGGAAATAATGTTGAGACAAACAACATTCTTGTTGAGTCTGTTCTTCCATTTGCAATGAAATTAAGAAGCTAGCTTCCCGTTGATAAGAGACCAGTGGATAACAGTCTGAGTGCACTATTATGAAAGCCCAGTCTCAGATCGATCCTATTTATTTATATCCATATGGAGCAGCAGAAGTGACTTTTCCAGTAATGGAGAAATGATTCTTGAATCATTTATAGTTTTCTTGGTCCACTGTTATGCGCATAACAGTGAACGAACAAAACTGAACTAGCATAATTGTTGCATTAAAAGGCACTGTAACAGTTTGTCTCACCATCTTTTTCAGGCTCAGTCGCTCCAGTAGCATGGCCTCAAAACAAGAAACTGACTCAGACACACAGGACATCCCTGTCATCTCCCAAATCAATAAGGCCAAACATTTTGAAAAGAAAGTCATGGTCAACAGTGCCAGCCAATCCATGAGCTCCCCTCCAGGACAGGACCATTTAGACAACGGAGACACTACCGGGGACATCTCTTCACCTCCACCGCCAAGGCAGATCCTCAAGCGCTCCACCACACGAAGTAGCTCTTCCTCCTTCTCAGAAAGTCTGGACCCAGCGCTGGACCCCTCATCTCTCCCACCTCCGGACCCCTGGCTGGAGAGTGGGAATGGGAGTAGCAGCAGCGTTCCCCAGAGCGGAGGAGCGGGGACGCTGTGTCGGAGAGACGGCCACTGGTTCCTGAAGCTGCTGCAGGCCGAGACGGGACGCATGGAAGGCTGGTGCCATCAGATGGAGCAGGAGACCAACGACAACCAGCTCTCAGAGGAGGGTAAGGCTGCCGGGGGACACCTACACTTAGTTACAATAATATGTTTCTTTAGCTGCTAGAGGTTCCAAAAACGAATGGCATAATGAATGTCAATCATCCAAATCGAGTTATTTGGCCCAGAAAAAAAGGAAAAGCATTGCTGAGCATTGCATTGCTCAAACCCTCTGAATGAACCCTGCGTCCTGAGCCTCCTTCCAGAGGTCTTTAGCTGTCTGACCCCACCATGCGGTCCGGAGCTCAGTTATAGAGCCCTGCTCGCTTATTGAGTTCCGCCTCAGGCCCGACAATCACTCTATCAGACATACTCAGCATGGAGGGGATGAGGCAGTAATACCTGGGGTTACCACACACAAGCAGGCCTGTAATCCCCAGCATTACACAAATCTACTCTGGAACTGATTAAACCTCCAGATTAGATTAGTGCTTCGACCGCAGCAACACACACATACACTGTATGTACACACAAACAAATAAACAGTGGTAAGGCTTTTGATGCTCAGTTCTTATCAGAGGCACATAATTGGATGAACAAGGCTCTGTGTGTCTTTGGGAGCCCATATGTTTCTTCTTTTTGTCATAAACAATGTCTGTGTGACTTCCTTTAACGTAAAGTTGTCAGTATTAAAACATGTATGCAAATCTGTAGCTGGTTCTCAACGCAGTATAATCGCATAGCCAAAACTTTACAATCCAGTGATCAGATCAGAGTCCCAATTTTGGGCAGATGTTTGGCCTATATTTGATACAGCAACAGAAAAGCACTGACCGCTGACAGACAGTGTATGTATACAAGCTTAGATGCCTTATAAAGAGGATAACATTATCCAATACACTGTAATCCTCTTCTTGCCACCCTGTGGAGTTAGTTGGGCAAAGTACATCTAACTGTCTAAACACCTGCAGTAATCTTTTGGTTAGCACCACACCACAACCATTTGCAACACAGAATAGTTGAGGTTGTGGCTGAACCCTGATATAGACCTTGTTTTTTTGTACAACACTATATAGCCAGGGCACTCCATTTTTTTTTAAGGAATTTATGAGTCAAAATTAGTCATGGTTAAAAGTTACATGATTTATGTATTTTGTACAGGTTTCAGTAGTGACAGAGAAAAACATTGAGAGGACATGAAAGTGTTCAGTGACTTGCTGTAGTGGAAGGTAAAGACAAACTTAATTTCAGACCCTGACTGTAGCTGAGAAAACTGGGTGTGTGTATCATCCATAGGTTGAATAACAGGAGGCCTCTGAGATCAATAATTATCACAAATTCCTGAAAATGTATGTGTCTTTTGGCTTTTGGTTCTCTCTTCAGTGCTGGGGAAGGTTCGCAGTGCAGTAGGATGTGCCCAGCTCCTCATCTCCCAGAAGTTCCAGCAGTTCCGGGGACTGTGCGAACAAAACTTGGTGCGTATATGGCCTTTCTTTGACCAAAAGCAATGTCTTCTGCTAAATTCCTTGATTCAGGTTAAGGCTTTCACACACAAATAAGTGTGGGAAGAGCCGAGAATACACAACATATGACGCCATCACAGGATAAGTCATTGTGGCCAACCAGCACAAAATACAAGGAGCTTACAATAAGCCTCTAAGCTATTTCTCTTGTGTGATGTGTTTTACTGGAAATGGCCTTATACTAATTTTGGCCAACTACCAGCACATAAAACAATAACTGTTTTACACGTTGGTTCACATGAAGCTCAACTTCCAAAATATTTACCAGATGATCATGACTGATAAATGATGAACGTCTTCGTCAGCTTCATTGAACTTGACCTACATAAAACAACATCACATGGCCACATCAAATGCTGTCGTTATGTTTATGAGCTATTTACACAATTGAGGTTTCTCTGCGAATAAATTATTGAGCCTTAGTTACAAACAACAATTAGTGCTTTTATACAATTAGTATTTCTGCACTTATACAATCTCCTGATTCACTCTTTTACGTGTGTCAATATGTAATTGAATTTGCTGATGTGCAATGATTAATATCTAACTTGTAATTGCTCTACCATTTCGGTAACTTCACAGGGTTGTTCGCATGATAGTGTACATTGTGTTTTTCAAAATTAAAATTGGACATCACAGCAGTGAATGCAGTATCATAAATAAGAAAGAGTATAAATAGTAATAGCATTATAAACGGCAGGATTTACTTCAGCTGTTTGTAAACAAGTAAGGGGTTTAATCTGTTGTTACTTTTAATCTTTAAAGGACACTGGGTCCTGAATGATTGCATTTATTTTTGCTGACATTATAACAGATTTAATGTCCCTGTAGAATTAAAGTGCAGGCTTACTGTGCTAAAAAGGACACAGCTCTGTTGTTATCCTTTATTTTGACCCGAAGACATGGACAAAGAAGCTGTGAAATAGCTCCCTCTAGTGATGAAAAAGAAAAAACACTTGATGACATACACAGCATGTAAGTAATGCAGTGCAGACGTAAAGTACAGTAATAGGACGACATTTTGTTGCAATTAAATTACCATTAGATGAAATCAGTAAGTTAATTTAGGTTTTCTCCGTTGGCCTGATGTTGGCTTCTTCTTACCTCTTCACATTAAGGAACAACACTGTTTTTTAAACCAGGATCAGAAAACATTGGGATGGTTGGTTTTGGTGGTGCTGACCCACAAAAGCTGCCCCATAGATAGCCCAACCCCCGTCCCCATTCTCACTTTATGGACACATCTAGGACAAAGTATTTTTGGAAATATGGCCTAGTTTTTACTTGCTAAATATTCTCCAAAAAAAGGTTAGTTGGAATTGAATAATTTTGCTTTTTTATAATAACTTTTTTCATGATGTAGCTGATCTGTTCTGGCTTGTGATGACCTTGGATGCATTGAAGGTGTATTGTTTGTTTTTCTGGTACCTCAGGGCCAATTGGCCATTAAATAGCCCATGTGCTCAGTGTCAAATGTCGTTTTTATACCAGTACAGTATGCAAACGGCGTAGCCCAAAACAAGAAGTTAAATAGACTTGTAGTTATATAATGGGCTCTGACTAGTTGATTCAAAGCTGGTTGTAATGCTTTACAAAAAGACTAAGCAGAATAAAAATCCACAAGTATTTTACAGCTCATTTTCAAAGGCGAGACATTGGTTTTCACTACCTACTGGCTTGTGTGAGATTAGTTTTGCTCTTGAATTAACTGTGATGCTGTTTGCTCTCTTACATTTCATACATTCTCCGCTCCAACATTGACTGTGTCCACAGAATGTGAATGCCAACCCGCGGGCCACCGCCCAGGACCTGGCAGGGTTCTGGGACCTGCTGCAGCTCTCCATCGAGGACATCAGCCTCAAGTTTGACGAGCTCTACCATCTCAAGTCCAATGACTGGCAGTCCGTGCCGTCTGCGGCCGCCCAGTCGCCCCCTGAGCGGAAGGTACTTCCCACCCCTGCTGCCCAGTGCGCTGGCTGGGGTAGGAAAGCCGCCGATACCGGCCTCTCTCCTCCCACCACCACCACCATTTCTCCCACTCTTTTTTACTTCCTTCCCCCTGCGTGGGATGAACTCTAACAGGGCGCCCTCTATAACACAAAGGGGCCAGAGAGATCCCTTTAGGCATGCATGGAAAAATATATCTCAAAGAGGGCTGTCAATGGTGTGTTTTGAAATGTAAAGCCCTGCTTTGAGCATGCATGCGTCACTTACTGGTATGCTGGTTGCAGTGGAGCATGGCTAAGATGTACTAGCTCGTGACAGAATGCAGTCTTGCTTTGCTTCTTCTCTGTTTAAATGTCTTGGTTTGTGTTTGTGTGTCTGTCCTTGTTTTCCTTTCTCTCTCTCTCTATTGTCTGTGATTGTCTTTTTATTAGGGTGGTCCTTAAAATTGAAAGTCGGAAAGTCTAAGCTCCAACCCGCAGAATTCATTCTATTAGTCAAGAAAACTCTCCTGGTGAATTTTTTTCCTAAATCTGACAACATTTACCCCTCCCTCATCAACCTTGACGTTTAGCCTCAGTTGTAGCACCGTGGCTGCTGGTGTGGCAGCCCAGGTCGATGAGGGAGGGGTACATGTTGTGGGAATTTGAATAAAATTCACCAGGAGAGTTTTCTTGACTATCATAATGAATTCTGGTGGTTGGAGCTTAAAATAAATGAATTCGAAAATGTACATGGCACTAAGGACCACCCTACTTTTTATATGTTTATGTGTGCGTTGGGATTCGTAGCTGAGTTGCTCTTGCTTTATGTTGCTTTGCAATGCAAGTGCATTGACTGTGTCTTGTGATCCCTTAATTCTGCTTTTAGTTTGATCCAACGTGGCCATTAATTCATGTTACCATTTCATGTCTTCAAAAATTGTCATGTTAATGACTGTTTTTTCTCAAATATTTGCCTGTTTTTACCAGGTGTCTTTTTGTCAGTGTTTTTCTGTTTGAAACCTAAAACCACTACATTTTATTTCAAGCTTTAATGAAAAAGAAAAGCATTGTCCTTGTCAAAGTCCTGTCTGCCAAACCTGCCCAGACTGATTGATGCTCTTGAAGACAGTTTCCACATTACAATCTCTCACTCTCTTTTTCTCCTTGTTTCGCACTTTGCTCTCTCTCCCTCCCTCTTTCTCCTCCTTGTTCTGTCATGTTTCCTTACTCCCAACACTACAGGACGAGGAGAAGGAAACCGCTCCGGTGTCAAAGAAACCCGGTAAGGGGCGACCATCGCTGGGCCGTGAGAAGAGCGCAGACTCTGCATCCACCTCTTCTTCGGCTTCAGCAGAGAAGCAGAGACACGAGGCTCGCAAGCGTCTACTGGCTGCGAAAAAGGCTGCCTCGTTTCGCCAGAACTCCGCAACAGAGAGCGCGGACAGCATCGAAATCTATGTCCCTGAGGCCCAGACTCGCCTCTGAAAGAGACTGAGATAGGAAAGCCATTATGGTCGGATCAAAGGACAGATAAGTCGCTGAAAAACCTGGAAAACTGAGAGGAAAACTTTTGCAGTGCAACTGAGCTACTCTGAGTAAATATGGATGGAGGTGTGGGGAGGAGAGATGAAATTCCCAGAGATTGGGGGGGGGGGGGGTTGGATTTGGGCATTTTTGACACACACTTATACAGTTATAGGCTGTTCCTGGTGGCTCCAAATGCTTATAACAAAAAGAAAATGAAAATGACTGGACTCGACAGACTTTGAAGCGGGTGACTCCTCGTTTGAGGCTGCCATTGAAAACCTCAGCTGATTTTGTCATTTCTTGTTCCTACTCTTGATATCATAAAATTGTTAATGAAAGTATTGTTATAATGACAATTATATCCTAAAGAATATATATGAAGACTGTTTTAAACATTCCTCTAACTTGGCTATAAGATCTATTAAGTGGACAGAAGGCAAACATTAATGCTCTTCTGTCTTTCATCGTCCTCCCCTCTTCCCAGATCATTGGCCATCTTGTAGCTTTGCACAACACCGCCCTGTGGCCATCACACACACACACACACACACACACACACACTGCGCACATGTCTACTGCATCGACACACACTACAAACTCTCGCCTATGTATGTCTTCCTTGTATTTATTTGTTTAATTTACTCATCCTTTTGTTTTGAATAGAAATCCACTTTAGATCTGGTAATTATGAATATCTTTGGTATGATGAAGTTGACTTTCAGATTTGAAGGGGTATTTATATATTTCCTAATAATTAGCACTTGTGTGTGTCCTCCAAAATGTTATTGTGTCAAAGATTTAAACAAATCTATAAAGTTTAAAGAATGACTTTAAATGAAAGCACATCACAAATGTAATGATGACTTATCATGAGGATCTCTTTTTCAATCAGAATGTCAGCACCCACAATAATGCTGATTATTATTATTTGTTCAACACTTTTTAAAAATCTCTTTTTTTAATCTCTGTCCCATTAATTTTTGTTTTCAATGTGCTGTAACTTCAGATTCGTAAATATTTTGGTCAGGACTTGTTCCATCTGGTTGTTTAATAGCTTCTTTAAGTGCTTTTATTAACCTCACTTAGCATTCAACTCGTAGATCTTAAATTAATGTAGGGCTTTTATTGAAGTAATGCAGCAGGCTGAGCATGCAGGATAACATTATGGAATTTCTCATAAGGGTCTCGCTGTTATTTTTATACAATGTTTCTATAAGTCTTTTGATTTATTTTGCCTCGAATCACTCTGCGAAATGAATCTACGTTCCATTATTTTTTCCCCTTATTGAACGTCATTCAAAGTACCTGCACTTTTTTTATTCCAAGAAAAGATATTTAATTAAAGCATTAAATACATTAGTCTTTGTGTTTTCATCATTTATTAAATGCTGCTTGTTTTTTATGTTTTATTTTGTATGGAAGACGGCAAAGCCAAAGATGAATACACTGTTTTACATTCATCTGACATACTGTATTTAAATGTAGTCATCAGAGAGCTAAATGAGGAAAATAGAGAGGAGCGTAGCCACAGCACCACATGTAATACAGGTTTAACATTTTGATGCACATGCCAGGAAACAACAGCCCAGCACTACAACAATACTGACGAACTGCTTAGGAGTGACCCCTCCCCTTCTCAGCCTGGAAACTCACATCTTCGAGTATTTAACTTCTGACCTCTAGGGGGCAACAGTGGTTACATTTCAATCCAAAATACAATACATTGGAGTACACTGTATGCATACAATGAAAATACATACTCATTATAAGCCAACCGTCAGCCCTGCCCTATTTTGCATTAAGAGGACACATTGTGTGGATTACATATATATATACAGACTCCTCTGTCTTATTTGACACCAGTTCTCAAATCAAAGAGGCCTCTTGGTTCACGACTCATTCCAAGACACTCTTTAGGATCTCACAGTAGAAGTACACATCCAACCAAAAAGTCAATCCTGACTTGCCTTGCATATCCTTCAGTGGTCCACCTGTCTTCCACTCAAATTTGATAACATCCAATTGCTAAGCAAACCTAACTTCCCTTACCTAATTAGTTATGTTAAACTATTGCAGTTGCATAGCTTTGGCTGCTGCAATCATCACCCACTGTGACCCAGAAATGCAGCCTGGGGCTTTGAATTGAAAAAGCCTGATGACCACTATTCTCTCTCTATCTTGGCAAGAGCTTTCTCTTGATGGCGGGCCTTTTGTGTGTTGTGTTTGCCAGCTGGGGATGACTCTCAGCAAGGAAAATGGCTCAGGGGTGTCAATAGTCTGTTCCCTGGTTGCTGTCAATGCCCCCCACCCCCATCTCTATTTTAGTAGGGTGGATTGCATCGTTAGCACCTGAAGGCCTTTTGTGTGACTTGAACTCAGACGTTTACGTGATTTAATTTGACTGCTAGGAAAAAGTTGTGTCTGACAAGTTGTGTTTATCCAAAAGAAGATGTGTGTTGTCAAATTAGGTTCCTTCCAGTTTCACCAATTTGAGAAAATGTTATATAGAAAAAATGTATTGATCTATATGTCACAGATATCAAATAGTCAGTTGTAAAAATTACTGCGTCTTGTGTGTGCAAGCAAGCTAGCTTAAAATATATTGAAAGAACTAGATTTGAATCTCTAATGCCAGAATATGTTTAACATTTGAACATTGTTTCCCCACTTGACACATTGTCAGGTCAAAACTATGCTGTCTGTCACCCTTCCTCACACAAAACCTAGGTCTCCCCAACTTGAACGCAGATCAAACACAATGTGCCATAACCTAGTAAGTAAAGGAGGCCAGAGAAAGTTTTCCTACAATCTAACCATCAAAAACTGAAAGACAATGCTTTTGCTAGACTGCAAAAACTTGGATGTGTAAAATGTCAGTCCTGTCAGTGACATATTTACTAAGAGAGAAGAGAGCTGATCTCATACATTCAAACAAGGCTTCCCTTCAATACACACAGATATCACTGGGACACACCAGGTCTATGTTCTAGGAAAGGTTATCCATGATCCAAATGGCTACACTGTGGGGGGAAGGGGGTGGGTTGATGTTGGTGTAAAGCCATTGATTTGAGGGCGATAAAGGTTCCTTATATAGGTTTGATGCATTTGGCCTTTGAAAGTCAAAACTGTCATTTCATCATTTGCTTAAACTGCAGTCTGTTTTGGTAAAGCTTCATTTTCAAAAGTCAAAAGGGTATTCAACACTTGTTTTCAGCTGCACTCCATAATGTCTCTCCTTCAACCACAAATAGTGAAGTTGGTCAAATGTATTATCATCCATAAATGCAAGAGAAAACAAGTTTAAATGTCAAGCAAGAACTAATCAAATCATTTATAATGTTGCTATGGTCCAATTTGTAACATATATTCCATGATACAAATGTACCTTTTAATGTGTTGCTTTTGTTCCTTCTCACATCACACATAAGAAGTAAATTCTACTGTTTAAGATGTATTTTTCTGCATTCCAGGGCTGAAACAAGTTTGATCTGTAGAGGCTACAAGAAAAGAGAGACAGTTTAATCCCTGGAAGAGAGCATACCTCAGTGAATCCACTCCCATACAGTACTCCAAAGGCCTGATAGCAAAAAAAGGCCCAGCTCATTAGCATCTGTGCTTTGTTCAATTTAGGGCATAAAACTCGGAAAGGGGTGAGGGGCATAGCTCGTACTACGAGAGATGTGTTAAAGCAAAAGGTGTATGTAGAAATACTAGAACAAATATTTTAGGAAGCAAGCACATATTTTAAAGACTATGATGTGTTCAGTATAATACTCTAGGCTGTGTGTATGTCAGAGTTGTGGGGGTTTAGTATAAAAGAGTTGTAATGTTTGAGAAGAAGTTGTGAGTGAGAAGGTTTGTAGTTCATGGAATAACATTTAAAGTATATGTGCAATACTGAGTAAAGGGGTTAATTGATATTGAACACTTATAGCATTGCATTTCTCGCCCCTGTGCTTCTTAAAGTTGTCTTCTGTAAATACACCAGACTGAAAATCTTCATATTTTACAATGCTGTAGATCTATTTATACAATTTCAAGGTTGTTAAAATGTATAATGGAGAGACGTAACATATAATAAAATGCACACGATACTTTCTCAAAAAGTTCATCATGGCTGTATTATTTGTACTGTTTAGAAGCTGTTTGCTCACCTATTAAAACACGTTTTCATTTTATATCAAAGGTTGTTTCAGGAGCTGAAACGTTATATATAATAGTTTTAACAATCCTGCTAGATTTGATTATCACTCCAAAGCTGTTTCAATCACATGCTCTTTTTTAAATGTTGCCTGGCCCTCCCTTTTGAAGCCTACGATGATACATAAATACATCGTGTACATTTGGTTCAAAAAGCAAGTTAAAACCTCGTTACAGGTATATTGCTGTTTTGCATTATGCTATCGTGCAGTAACTTATTTTCTGAAATCTCCCGCTTATTTGGTCCTGGGACTCTTCGTGAGGTTCTCATGAATAAACGCTTCCAAGACACATTAGCCTGACAAGCCTTGCGTCAAACCAACTGTAGAATTGATGTCTAAATATCACATCAGAAATGGCCCAAAACAGTCTGAGTCGAAATAGCTTGGTTTATTGTGTTATGGACTGCGGCCACCAGTCGACGCTTTCGACGTTTATGATTTATGTAACAAGAACATTTTGCTGAACGTTACGTAAAGCCTCTTCACAACACTGTGTGGCTGTCTGTCTTCCCGCACACATCAAAAAACGACTTAAATGGCTGTGAAAGATCACTACAGTTGTATTTTTACACAGGCTTGAGTCGATGTAACCGTGGCATTTCAACCGCGTCGAGGAAAATAACATTGTTTCAATGACTGCGCTTTACTTTGAATGAAATGGTTCTCCCGTCAGTCACATTTACACAGAGCCCTGTCTGCTTCCTGACGGAGCGCCTTGATTGGTTAACGGCTTTCCAGGAGGCTCAATGGAGGTCCGTGATTGGCTGACAGCTGTTGATGAGGCGGGATCATTTCAGCTGCGACTGTCAAGATTGGCAAAGAGCTGGCGCTGCTGCGTGCAGGTAAAAGGAACAAGCGACACAAAACAGAAAACATTTATCTTGGCAGAAAGCAAGGAGTGCGATGGAAACGGACTCTACGGTGAAACATTTTTGCGCCGCAGAAAAGCTAAACGTTTAGGTCGGCGAGAAAGCGCAACACCTTCAGCTTCTTGAAAGAAAGTGCCGTTGTGTCAACCATCGCTCGGCTCCCGGGCACGCTTTGTACCGCAAGCAACTTGGACAGCTGCGTGTTTTCAAGCCAGCCATCAACAAAGAATGAAAGCATTCAAACGAGGTGAGCCTCACCGTGTTTCTATCACTGCACGTTTAAACCCCACACCATGTGCTGTCTATAACTCTGCTGTGTCTTTGCTGTTGGTTTTGCCTGGAATGCGGTCTTTTTGTTGCGAGCAAATGCAGCGTGTGTTTGTGCTCAAATTTGGAGGGACAGCTAGCCAGCTAGTTATCTCTGGAGGCAGGAGCATGGTGTCCATCTGGCGGCGTGACATGCGGGAGGCTGTGCTTTGCTGCCTGCCTCCTTTGTGCGCTCCAGATGGCTAATTTACCGAGTAGCTCGTCGGTTTGTTTCTTTGAAAGTAACATTTATACCTATCAAATAGGCTTTTTTCTCCGTGTATGATTTCACTGTGGGTGTGACGTTATTTATTTGACAAAGCAAGCTGGTGTAAAGTTGATGTTTGGACTGGCGTTACTAACGGTCAGATTCAAATTCTTACCTCGGCGTGTTGTTAAGTTGAGTTCACTGTGGAGCAAACTTTGAAATGACGACCATTTGTTCTCGCGTTTACAAGAATGAACAAGATACTCGTATTACTTTCCATGAGCATTTACTAGCTTATTTAGATGGGGGAGACATTTGGTAAACAAAAAGTTTGGCTGCCTGAGACGTTGCTGATGTGACATAATGTACTATTCTAACATCTGTCTAAAATACGTCATTGTTGATTGATTCATGATCCCACATTGACTGGCTGGAGATGGCTTGGGTTCATCATGGGAGAATGTAACATTGTTGTGGGCCACATCTCTCGCTAACTGTTATTTGAAGTAGGATAACCTGAGATGTCTGTCAACTATGAATGTTGCTAATGAATGGGAGACTGGAGTTTCTGATTTTAGTATGTTCAGACCCAGTTAGACTTAATTAGACTGAGAAACTTTAGTCTATTTTAAGAGTTTCATAGAGCTGAAATTCATACTTCTAGGAATATTTTTGGCACAATGTGCAAAATCCAAGTGGTTTTCAGTTCAGAGCAAAAAACCAGGTTCTATCAGGTTGCATTTAAACAGCTACAACACTTGACAAACTGTTCAAGTCATTTTACTCCATCCAAGAATCATTCGTTTGGGTCAAAACATTTGGTCAAAAGTGATATATCAGGAATAAAATCACAGGGTTGCATTCAAGTAGTTATCTACAATGCCTACCCTTCCTTCCCTTGACACTTAAACTTGTTGGGGGAAGCTAATTAGCAGAGATTTGGGGAAATGCACCAAATTAGCATTTTTATGTTTTGATTTCCCCTCCCACTTTTCTACCTTGGTTTAGTACTTTCCTCATTGTCGAGGAATGCAGAATTCACAAGAATTGTCAACTACTCCAGCAGTCTTGAGCCAGAGTGGCATGAGGTGAAAACAGCCTCTTTTGCATGGTCAACAGGTTCCTTGGCCACTGGCTACTGTGATGTTGATATCCACACAATCTTCTTTGTGAAGACAGCCGCTGCCCCAGGGGTCAGGTTTCAACCAGGCCCAGAGAAAGACATTTACTGCATTCTGTGGCCCACCCCTGGGATCAGGCATGCTCCATTTTGAGTGGAGATTCTCTCCAGTGGCCAACCACGGACTGACAGCAGAAAACACACAACAAAGTTCAAAGCCATTGTTTAAATTTGTTCAGACCACAGACCTCACTTTGAATTGGGTAAAATTGGCAGGTTAAAAGTAACTGAAGAGTTTTGTGCACTTGTTTCCATTGTTGTGCCAAATCAGTGGAAACAAGTATTTTAAATTTTGTGCATTAAAAAAAGATGAACCCAACCCCCATTTTACAGAACACTCCTTGTGAATGTATAGCCATTTATACTATTCCTTATACTTCAATTGTGGCCCAAAAAAAGGATATGTCAAAAAACAACAGAGAAGATTACCCTTTTTATACCTAATGCTGAGCAGATTTAATGTAAACGGTATGGCTAAATGGAACACTGTGAACATGACTGACAGCTCTGCTCCTCCCCCTCAGCTCTGGAAGAAGAGCATCGCCCGGATCAGGAGCACTCTTCGGCAATGTCGGACAGTGATGACGGCTCGCCGCTCGACCTGTCAGGAAGGGGGCTTTTCGGGAAGCGCCGTCGCCGCGGCAACCTGCCCAAGGACGCGGTGCAGACTCTGCGGAGCTGGCTGTACGAACACCGCTTCAACGCCTACCCGTCAGAGCAGGAGAAACTCAGTCTGTCGGGCCAGACCAACCTCTCTGTGCTGCAGGTGAGGACAATTTATTTTTTGTTTGTGTTAAAAGTGTTAAACATTTTTTTGTTTTTTTGCCAGAGAAATGACACTTGTGGTAGACACTGATTCTGCAGTCTTGTGGACCTGTCAGGTGGTCCTTTTGAACTTGTAAAAGGTTGCTTTGATAGTTAATATTAGTGCACACTCAATTTACTAATGTTTTATCACTATAAAGTCTGATGCTGCTCACCGTTTTCTTTAATGAAACTTCACCCAACACAGTAAACAGGTGAAAGCAAAACAAAAATCAGATGTAATCACCAAACTGCAGCCTGAGAGTGAGCCTTTCCCAGCCTTACCTTTTCACTTCATTGCATCAGTAGTAGACGTTTCCTCTTTGCCTCTCAACACACAGGCGTGCGCAAACACACTGGCAGCATTAGAGAAGGCGTTAAAGATCAGCGTGAGGCAGCAGCACAGTTCCTTGTTATGTAGTCAGTTCACTGGAATGCTTTTGGCTGGCTTCTCTGTGGCTCAGCATATTTGAGCGCAGACCTTCATTATTGCCAGCTGTCTGAGGGCTCTCATCTCTGTCTGTCTCACTCTTTCTTCCCTGTGTGGGCGACTGTACCACTAGAGGGGGTAAGTAAAGCCTCGTGTGTACATGTACATGAAGAAAAGTGTGTAGGTGGTTTTTAAAATCACAGGCCTCCAGAAATAGTTTAGAGCTAGAATTATGCCAGGGTTGGGTTATGGATCTGTAAAAAGTTATTTTGAACCAAAGAAGGGTTGCTTTTTTAACAGATAGGCCATCTTTGTGACTAAAACTAATTTTGTTTGAAATGTATTAAAGTATATCATCCATGTAAGCTTTCAGAATCAGTTCTGTAATACCTACATTTCTTACTCTTTCCCTAGATATGTAACTGGTTTATCAACGCGCGTCGTCGCCTCCTCCCTGACCTGCTTCGCAAAGATGGCAAAGATCCCACCAAGTTCACCATCTCGCGCAAGGTCGGCAGTAAAAGTGACAGCCACTACAATGGAGGCTGGAGCAGATCTTCAGAAAGCAACTCTTCCACCAGCCCCTCTCAACAACGCCCGTCGGTCATCCGCTCCGCCCCGATACTGGACCTCAGTCTTCTCGGGAACACGGCGACGGCTATTCTCACGGGAGCGGGTTTCCCTGGTAACGAAGGGTCGGTCCAGGCGCTGATGAGGCTGGACACACAGAGCCTGATAAGGGAAGCAGAGGAACAGAGGGCAAACACGTTTTGTCTCGCCAGCACAACAATGGCAGCTAGCCCCAGCGTTGGACTCTTCAACACGCCTCCCCCCACTCCCCCCGAGCTGTTCACCACTCAGGACTTCAGCGACCTGAGGCTCCTGGTGGACGCAGCTCTGCAGAGGGCCGCAGAACAGGAGAACCTGAAGAGGCTACAGGAGAGCCAGAGCAGACCCACAGAGGCTGTAAAGACTGAACAGGTGGAGTCGCAGTGTTACAGCAGTGACATGGGCCCCACTCCGCCTCCAGAGGACAGCCAACAAGTCATGGATCCTTCCAGGGTTCAGAGTCTGATGGAGAAGGCTATGGCTGTGTCTGTGTCAGCTGTTACTGCAGTACAGGATCTAGAAATGCTTCCTTTAACAGCCTCAGTATCGGTACCAGTGCCGGTGCCCGTTCCAGCCTTGGTTTCAGCCCCGAGGCTGTCTCCTCTCCTCATGAATAAAGTCACCTGGAGCCCCGTGGAGAATGACATAACTTCCAGCGCAAAGCAGGCTCCGCTCCTCCCAGCCCATCTGCCAATCGTAGTGCCAGAGTCCGCAGTCTTAGGACTGCACAATCCTCAGAACCCAGCTGCTGCTCAAGCCAAAGCCCCAGCTTCATCTCCAGCTCCACTGCCCACTACATGTCCTACAGAGTTGGTATCTGTTCCATCACCTGTTGTACTCCCAGCCACAAGTCCTTTCAGCCAGACATCATCCCATACGCTTTTTCCAGCTGCTCCTTCTCCAGCCATCACAGACCCCAGAGGTGTCCCACTTTACCTGCCATTCCACAAATCCCCCGTCATCCCAGTCACAGTTCCATGTACGCCGCTCCTTTCAGCTGCAGTGTCGTCTCCGGCCTCTGCCCAAACTCCAACTCCCCTCCCTGTTTCAATCCCAACATCATCCTTTACACCAGCGATGCAGCCCCCTCTGGGCCTGATGTCCCACCTCTCTGCTCCTCTTCAGCTTTCTTCCGGCAGCATTAGTGTTAGCAGCGCACAGAGGAATTCAGCAGTGGTGCCCAGTGTTTGGAGCATGGTCCATGCTGATGGCAGGCAACCCACTTCTCTTAAAGTGGTAAAGACCCCCATCACCACAGTGTGGGGCCTGCACACAGTGAGTGAAGCTGTTAACTAGGAGCTGATTTTTTGTTCTTTTTCTTTTTAATATAAATATATATATCTTGGAGGAGAGAGGCCAAACATTCCTGTTGGCTGGACTACACTGTACATAGGAGAATGTATGTTCATCACCAGTCCCCTTTCGTCGTAAACGCATGTGCCTGCAGAAAACAGGATGTGAAATCAGATTTATGAACAAAGTGAAGTAACAAACATGAGGTGTTATAAAGACTTGCTGTTTCAAGCAACCTTTTTTTAAATGTGCTGTTCCTCGATGAAGGCACCTGCCGGTAAGAACACTTTTGATGTCATTTCTCAAAAAGGAACATTCCTGTGTGGAGAGCTAATGTGTTGTACAGTTTTGATGCCATTTTCAAACCTCTTTCCGCATTACAATTTATGAATGAAGATGAAATATCCCGTAATTGTACAAAAGGTCAAATTATTTCAGGACCAGCAGTTAGCCTCTTCAGTAGCAGACCTGGACTGTATTGAATGTACAAAGACATTGATATCATTGGCTAGGCTGCCTATCATCCATTCCCCTCCAGCATAAAAAGGAGGGAATTTGTTTTGTTATTCCCACGCATAGCAACAATGTTGTAGTCATTCAGATTTTCTTTCAAGAATTGAGTCTGTTCTTTTTTATAAATTCACCCTGTTTTTCTCAGAGGAGCACAAGGGAAATTGATTGTACTGCAGTGAGTCTGTCTCAATGACTCGCCTCAATGTGTCTGTCTCCATCACACCCCACCCCCTTCTTCCTGGCTTTTTATAGCAGAGGGGATTCATTTGCACTCATGAATTGTCATCTCCACCACTCAACGCATGCTTTAAAGCATCACGTATTTTCTTATTTTGCTATTTCCAATCCATAAAAACAAAACCCTATTTTCTGTGTTTTTGCTCAAAGCAAAGCAGTTCTGTCCGTTTAATTGTCCGAGATCCGTTGTGTACGATTTTCAGGGACTGTTGTTGAAGTGCGCTGTGGCCACAGGATGAAGGGGAGAGGGTCACATTGGATCTGTTACAGAAATCAATTTCAGTGAAGAGGTGAGCAGCTTGGTGGTCTGATGACATCGAGCTCTTAACAGCTCCTGGAATGAAACTTTAAACCTGCTCTGAGACTTTATCTTTTGTGGTGGAAAAACACTTTAAACATTGGATCCATTATTATATGCATTTTCCAGATTTCCCAGTTCATTTGGGGCCATATGAATTTGTCAATTTAGTTCAAACCTGAATGTCTTACTATTTGAAAGTTGAATTGATGCATGTAGTGTCTTGACAAAACAAATGTAGCGGATGATCTGCAATGGCAGACATTTGCTGGAGGTTTTCCTCCCAAGGGGGGTACAACAGCACAACATAATCAAGTTTTCCTCGTCTGTGCTCATCCACCTGTATTTAGAAATGGTTACAATAGGATTTCTTATCATTCACAAAGCTGTAGTTTCCATGAAACTGTTGTAGCATAAACCTCAATATATGACTGAATGCCATCAGGGCATCAGTTAACGGTGGCATCATGTGGAAGAGTTCCTATGTGAATAATACTATAGCAGGATTGTGCATTAAATCTTCACAACTGTCATGTTTACCGGTGTCATTTAGCTGTACACGATATCGTTTTACAACTGCAAGTAGCAGGAGACAACAGAAGAAGAAAGTCTGATGATTGGTCAGAGTTTTTGCTTCATCGCACTCGGAAAGCTTTCATAGCAGATATCAAATCTCGTACGCTGTGTTTTGTTTGACCCTCCTTACTGCTTGTAATGCTCTGTGGATGTCGTAGGAGGTACTCACTAGACTGATGTGCATTTATACCTCAATTTACACAGGTCATGTCAGACTTGGGTCATATGTAGAATACTAAGTATTAAAGTAATATTTTTATTGTTCATACTACATCATGCCACTGTGACAAAACCTCTTATCTGATGACCTACTGGAAACGGCTGGCTAAAGATTAGGAAGGCAGGTTTTTTTTATAGCACGGTTAATGTGATTTTTAGATGCAAAATGTCGCTCCAATCAGATCTGACAATGTGACACATGTACATATTTTTCAAGGTCATGTTCTTTTGTTTGTATTGGTATTTTTTTCACAAAAATATCAAACTGTCGTTTATTTACAGCCAAACGCATTATTATAAAAAGTCTTTTTCAAGTTTGTTGTGAATCATGACTGACCGCTAGCAGTATGATAGGCTGCTGTGCCTTAAACCTACGACTGAGGGACTAATGTCTCTTTTTTTTATATAAAAACTTCTCAATAGTCTGTGCAATATATGCCTTAAACTTTAAATGTGTTTTTGTATAAGCATTTCAAAGAAATAAAAGTTCAGTTTTTCATAAATGCTATTTCTTTTCCGTCTTGTGTTGCCTTTTAAAATGCTGACTTTAAATTGATTGACTTTGTGTGAATAAGCAATATTATAAAAACATTTTCACCTTTTCACAAAGGCCTTTTATTGCAGTAGTCTTGTAATACATTGAGTTGTGTAAAATCCATTAATGACACATCAGTCATCAAACAGGTGTACCATATAAGATACATAAATAGTTACTTTAGCATTAATGTCACTCATGGACAAAGATGTTTTATACATTTAATTGGTTTTGTGTCAATCAAAAGCAATGTATTGAACCCCGTTTAGAACAATGTTTCAGATGTGACCTAATGCCCTCCGACTGCCAACAGTCTGTGAAAAAAGACATGAGGGATCGTGAGTGAATGTACGTAGATTATCCAACAAAACATCTGTAGATCAGAGTCTTGAAATTGTTAGTGTTTAAAATACAGTATTTCACTTTATAGATGTAAACATGTGAAGTAAAGAGACACCTGTTAGAAAACACCCCAAAGACATTGCGGACGATGGCATGAATAAACTTACTTTATTAGCCGAACAACATTTCAAGACTGAATTCCTTCAAAACAAAAACATACCTGATCCTTTAAAAAAAATACACAAAACCAGCCGATGGTAGGAAGAGTTTAGACTTAAAGCTATACTAAACATTTCATCAAGATCACCACTTTTATAAACACAATCAAAATGAAATCTTTCTATCCATTTCTAACTTACAAGGATACGAATATTACAGATATGGAGACTTGTTGCAGTGCTTGTGCAGGTGCGGTAGCTATTTGGCCGGAAGAGGTAAACATTGCTGGTACTGTACAAACACCCCCGCACACACACACACAAATAGACAAACACACACATACATGTTTGATTCCAAATGTAAAACGTCCAATCAGCTGTCTTAAGTGTCTGAAGCCGCAGTAGACTTGTTACAAAATTCAAATGCACCACTCTTCATGGTAACCTTCAATGATGATACTAGTTAAAAATACATTGTGAAAATACACTCTAGATCCCAAACAAATCACAAGCTCCTACCTTTCAAAAACATGTTTGAATCTAAATAAGTGAAACTCTTTTATGAAAGACTTTGATAACAGTTCTTCTAAACCTATTATGTCCATAAAGGTAGGAGCTAGCAGTTGATTTGCAGTGTGTGTGTGCGGGGGCCCTGAGGCACTCCGTCCTCCCTCTACTCGTCATCCTTGTCTTTGGCGCCGTGTTTGAGGATACGGGTGAACTCTGCGTAGTTGAAGTTGCCCTTCTGGTCAATGGGGGCCTCACGGAACAGCTCGTCCACATCTTCGTCTGTGAAGCGGTCGCCCATGGTGGTCAGCAGCTCCCTCAAATGGTCCTCGTGGATCACACCTTAGACACAGTTAACACCCATCAAGTTCCAAACAGTGACAGTAAAAGTGCCTCGGTGTGTGTTGACAGTATTTTTTGTTTATGCAGACTCACCAGATCCCTCCTCATCGAAACAGGCGAAGGCGTTGCGGATGACGTCTTCAGGGTCTGTTCCGTTGAGCCTTTCTCCAAACATGGTGAGGAACATGGTGAAGTTGATAGGCCCCGGTGCTTCGCTCATCATCCCCTCCAGGTATTCATCAGAAGGGTTCTTACCTGAGGAAGAAAAACACTGTATCATGTATCATGTAATCTTACTTGGACTATTTGGTTAAGAACTAATTGCCTCCACCAAGGAGTTTGTTAAGATTTTTTTGTTAGTATGTCAGGATTATAAATACCGATTTGGACCTAGTGTAGCATTGGTCATGGGGAAACCCACTCAGTTTTAGGAGCAGTTCCGAAATCGCAGAGCTGATACATAAATTACTTTTCAATTTGTGTTTACGTTGCAAGATAAGGCATTAGGCCTTGCCGGATGTCCGCGTTCCCAGAGTGTTCTTCTAGCAAGAATGCAATCCAGCAGTTAAAATAAAATCTTATTATTTTTTTATTTCAAAGTAGGAACAACATTTTTTCCCAATTGAAGAAGCACAGCCAAAGATGTCCTGAAAATAACCTTTGATCCTACATTTCCCCTGATGTATATTGCCTCTTTCATTGCAACCCAAAAAAAGGCACACTCACTCCAATCTTGTAGTAAAGGCTTTCTGTTAATAATGGGTAGAATCCAAGCCCAACCTCATAATGTCATCAGGGTTGTTTAAGTTATCTCAGATTTGCCATAGAAACGAAGTGTAGTGAGGGCAGCGTACCCAGAGAGGCCAGCATGTCGTGCAGATCCTCCTTGTCGATGAAACCGTCTCTGTTCTGGTCGATCATGTTGAACGCCTCTTTGAACTCCTGGATCTGAGACTGGTCGAACATGGCGAAGACGTTGGAGGTGGCCCTCTGAGGACGCTTCTTGGTGGTCTTTCCCTTGGCACGTTTGCTCGACATGGTGGCGGCTGGTTCTGGGCCTGCAGCACAATTAAAAGAGGCATGATTCATAGATTAAAAATGCTCCGCCATCAGGGATAACATAGATTGGATAGATTACTCATTCACACAGCTTGACATGAATACCGATTACAGCATCCAATTGAAATGAGAGTTAAGCCTATTTAGCATATAACAGCGCTGAAAACTGGAACACTGCATTCATATAGCTCTTTTATATTTTACTTTGCCACAAGCAGGAGAAGCTATTTCTCTGGCTTTTGCCTCCAGAGAGAGAATCACACTCTTTCTGAATGTCGGGTACAGTGATGGGTGTGAAGCTGACATGTCTCCACAGTGCAGCTAACTTCAGATCCTTCCAGAATTAGACCTGTCACTCACATTTAGGTCTGCAAGGATTTGTCTTGTGTGTGTGTGTATGTGGCTCTGTGATTGTGTTATACCCAGTGGGCAGCAGCAGACGGATGACACAGAGAGACAGGCTGGACAGGCAGGCGGGAGCAGGTGACTGTGGCTGATTAGTCACTTAAAAGGTATGACATCATGCCCCGAGAGGCGCTGAGGTGAGTACTGTACTAGCTAACAATAAGATAATTTACTCAGGTAAAGCATGGAATTATACACCCATACCTGACACGCAATGATTTGTTTTCAGTCTTTAATTTGCACCTTGAAAAATGACATCATTTATCAAGCTTACAGTAATCAACAGGTTTGAACACACACAATTAATTGTATTTCATCTATGACAGTAGAATTCAGTAACCTATCAAATGCATCTTTAAATCTACTGTGCTGAGTTATACACTGGAAGGCTATAAAAAGATAAGTATAAATCATATACAGGAAAATCCCTCCAAACAACCTAGGCTTTTTAAAGGTAATACAGATAGAGCTGTTGATCTTCAGAGGGCTCAGGTTATTAAAATATGTTCCGCATGTTGATATTCTTGTCAGGCAGAGTTGAAATTCGTACATTAAAAGATTTTAAATGTGTAATCTATTTTCTTAATTTAAAATATATAGAGATTTTTCAGCCATATCATTCCAAATATAGCACACACTATTTCTTACAAACTGAAACAAATGCAGTCAAATATAATATTGCCTATTCTGGTAACAAATTAAAGCAGATTAAATTAACATTTGCTGTATCTTTTCTATATTTCATAAAAAATGTATTTATATCCATGTATTTTACATTACAGTTGGCTAAATATCTGTCTCCAAGGACATTGACAGTGACTGCCTGTCTTCATATTTAAGGGGACATACATTTAGTGTGTGTGCCGTCTCTGAAATTGCACTGAGAAAACAAGGGGAAGGGTTGAGCAAGCTTTGCCTATCCTAGATCTACCCCTGTTGAGTATATAGAATTGTAGTTCTTTGTTGATCTCTACACAAATGAATGCTGCTGTATCACAAGGGCAGAATGATAAGCTTTATTGTCAATGCAAATTAAAATATAACCAGCCGATTCTGCCCAGAGTTTCTAATAAATTTATATAAATTCATCATACAAAATGGATTGTTTTGTCTTCAGCATGAAAAGGTTACAGGAAAGAAATACGTTTATTTAACACACACACACACACACACACACACACACACACACACACACACACACACACACACACACACACACACACACGCACACACACACAGTTCACACTTTCCTTTCTTTCACTGCAAACACATGTTGGAACATTTGCTCTTTTCATTTAACTACTGTTCCTTAATGTGCCAGCATATGCAGAAATCTGGAAGGTGTGTGCTGTTGGCCCAAAGCCCTTCCATTCTCCATCTAACAGATGCAGAGGAAGCTGGAAACAAAAAAGCATCCAGCTCCAGTTGAAGGTTTCGGAGAACAGAGGAATTCCACAATCTCATTCTTGTCTGGCTCCACTGATACAGTACTGTCTCGTCTCCTGAGAGAGGCTGATTGGTGTTTAACTATACCTCAGTCTCAAGCAATCAATAAGATAGATTTTCTGACTTCACAATGTAAAACAAAATAAATAGTTGCCGGTGCTTTACCAGCAGCTCAAATCTTTTGCATTCTGCAAAGAGTGAATCAACAATGATTCACAGAGAGGTTGAGAATACTTTGAGGACTTCAGCGAGGTGCTGACATGCCTCATCTTGGCTTGGCTTGACAATCGTATTTGTTCTCTGTCCACCACAGCTTTTCTGTGGAGCCTTTCATCATGTGGGACGACAAAGCTCCTCTGTCCCTTCGCCTTCGCCCCAGCACACACACACACACACACACACACACACACACACACACACACACACACACACACACACACACACACACACACACACACACACACACACACACACACACACACACACACACAGTGACTGACAACAGAGATGATGGAAATACGTTTATTACACACACACACACACACACACACACACACACACACACACACACACACACACACACACACCCACACACACACACACACACACACACACACACACACACACAGTGACTGACAACAGAGATGATGGAAATACGTTTATTACACACACACACACACACACACACACACACACACACACACACACACACAC